GACCATGTCTGAGTAGAAGTTGTCTTTTACCAGACTTTGTGGAGCTTTGAATGCTGGATTATTCAGTGTTCAAATAACTGCTGTTTATTTGGGCGAAGCCATTTGTTCGCAGTTAATTTTAGTTAGGGGTGCCAGAGTGAATGAGGCTGAATAGAAAAGGAGCTAAAATAACGTTAAAATGTGTGTATAATTTTCCTTCCTCTTCACATTTATCTGTTACTTCAAGTTGGTTTATACAAGAAAATCCAAACAGGATGAGAATATATTGCAAGCTTTTGTGCTCTCTGTGTTTACTTTGCAGAGAGCCCTGCACCTTACCAGCAATTAAGTCTAATAAAGATCAAAATAATTAGAATAAAACTATAACAGGAACAGTTTAAGATATTGATCCACTGAATAACTGTGATATCAGATATTTTGGTGGAGTTTATTCATAAGTAGGGCAGCAGAGCAGAGTGATGCCTTGAAACTGTACAGGAAGTATCAAACCTATGCAAGGCTCTCAGAGCACATTACAGCAGACAAATATGCACAAACTGTTTGAGAAAACCCTCTGGACCTCAGGGGGTTCCCTGAAAAACATCTGGAGCAGCCAGCGCCTCCACTCCTCTGCTCCTTAATGAGGCACAGAGAAGATTATTAGTGGAGTTTTTAGAGGGAAATGCAAAGGGGAGAAAAGGGAAAGTGCTGGAATTGAAGAGGGACATTTGTTTGCTTTTCCATCAAAGTGTGGGAGAGACCTCCGGTGCTTTTAGATCTAAAGAAACTTCATGCGTTCATCTAACTTCCATCAACATAGATCACAGAGACATTCGAGGCAAAGCTGGGATTTTTGGGATCCATCCCAATGAGCTAAAGAACAGCTCTCAAGGGTTTTGTCCTACATATAACTCTCTGAGGTAAAAAAAATGAACAATTCCTTTTTCAGATCCTTAAACTTTGGCTGTCATAACAAAAACATTGTTATAAAGGGAATCACCCCTCTAGTTCGATTGTCTGTAATAAAAAACAACAACTTAAACTTAGCAACTAATGAAGCAGGTGTGAAATAACGCTGAGTGCTGTTGATGATTAGATTTCACATTAGGCAGACTGCAGCATCATGAATTTTGTGGTTGTGGATTTCTTTGCCCTGGAGAGTCTATAGAAGTGAACACCTGCCTGTGTTTACTCTAAAGGCGTAAGCATAACGATGATGACGACAGTTATTTTATACAGGAGGTAAAAATGATTAAGAGATATGCTCAGATATGCAAGTCGATGCTACACTGTCCCTCATTTGATCAATAATAAGGCAGATTTTTGTATTGATATTTTCAGTAGAAAATATTCCAGAAAATTAATGAACAACATTAATTTTCAACACAAGTCAACGACATGATGGAAACAAAAGGCCACATCACCAAAATGCTCAACCTGTTGTCATGGTTTTGGATCTGTTGTCCTTTACTTTGCTCCATGTTTCCTAGTTTTATTGGTTTAATTCCTATTTTGTTGTAGTTTCTAGATTTATGTTAGTTCGCAGGTTTTCCTGTTGTTTTCCTCTGTTGCCCTCTTGTGTGTGTTCCTTTCCCCTTGGCTCCCTCGTTGTCTCCTTTCCCACCTGCTCCTTGTCAGCTCGTTAGCCCTGCCATTGTCTCAGTCAGCTACATATACTCTCCTTCTGCTGTCACTCCTGGTTGGTTCCTTGTTGTTGCTGGTGTTGTCGTCGCTGTTTTCTGCTCACCTCATCTCTCCCTGGCTCCTTGTGTGTGTTTTCCCCTGATGTCTCTCTCCATGGTTCTGGTCTGTGTTACATTTTTTGTTGGATTTTTGGATTTTGCCTTTATTATTAGTGTTTGCATTAAATCTACAAGAAATCACCTCAGCCTCTCTGCCTCTGCATTTGGGTCCTCTAAACGGGGCATCCCCAACCTCGGTCCTTGAGGCCTGCTGTCCTGCAGGTTTCAGAGGTTTCCCTGCATTAGCACAGCTGGTTATAATGATTGCAGTTGACCAAAAACCTGTTAATCAGCTTTCAATTAAAATCAGCTGTGCTGGAGCAAGGAAACCTCTAAAACCTGCAAGACAGCGGGCCTCGAGGACCGAGGTTGAGGATGCCTGCTCTAAACCACAACCAAAACGTGACACCAGGAGGAGTAATGATCGAGGGTAGTGACTCAAATCAGGTGGGTTTCCTGTGATGGAAAACTTTTAATTTTACCAGTTTGAAACAAAAATTAACTTGACATAATTGATGAATATATATATATAAAACACTCCGGGAGTCTTGTCTGCATGATTTATTGAATTGACTTTATTTTCATGGAGTTTATATTGGTTCTATGTAAATAAATTCAACTGTATTTAAATTAAGCAGGATTTTTGTATAAAATACACATTCCAAACAGTTGCATCCTCTGAACTTTAATTTAATGTTACAACTGCAAACTGTGTGGTATTTTATAAAGACATTGTACTATAGGCCAGTATAATAAATGCAAAGTCGAAGGGAAAAGATACATGACAGTTTAAAAAAAATGTATCATCTTAAAATGCATTTCCACGATAAGAAAACTGAGGCTCTTAACAGACATTAAATATCTGCTGAGGATAACAAATAATGCACATTGTCCTGAACAAACCTTCCCCAGGTGAATATGTTTAATGGCAGTATGGGCTGTGGGGGTACCTCCTTTTAGCCATGGACAGGGATACTGGGATACAATGGTTGATGGGAGGATGGTCAGATAGAGGGAAATCCTGACCTGTTAGGGTGCAAAAGACTCAAGACCTAAACATACAGAGGGAGCTACAATGGAAAAGCAAATTTTTGTGTTAGAAGGGCCTAGGCAAAATTCACACTTAAATCCAGTTAAAAATGTGTGGAAAAATTGACTTGCTGCTTATTTAGGAAATAAGTTTAAGACTGTAGATGGGGAAAACTGGTAGATATATACCTTTAAAGATGTACAGCTGAACTGCAGTGAGATGTGGTTTTAGTTAGTCTGGCTTAATACAAAATCACAACAAAACAGTCAGGTCGTTTTCTGCAAACATATATATATTATCGCTACCATTTTTCCACCATCTGAATTTTGAGAAGACTCAAGTCATTATAAGATGCAGGAGGATGAACATTAAAACTTTTTTAAAAATCCATCAGCCACCTGTTAGAGACTTATTACAGGTTTTAACTAGCTACTCTAACTACACCAGATGATATTGTATATGAAAGAGAGGTCATAACAACTGTCCATTTTGAACTGCTTTAAAAGGAAAATACAGCTTTGTTTATGGTAGGTTTGGTGTGTTCAATTCAAACAATAAAATCCATCAGCCATTTCTATAGTAATGAGTTTATATAGATGTGGGGAAAACGACTTTCCGTTCACACTATTTCATAACAGAGAAGGAAGGGTTTTAACCCTTAGATGCTTGAAATCTTAGTAGATGTGCAACATCTGAAACATTCAGACCAGTGAATCTGGCAAGAACATCCACGACACATTAAGATTCACTCAGCTGAGAATTGTCCAGAAATGTCCTAAAATTTGTGGACAGATTTTCTCTTGCCAGAGAACAACAATAAGGTTGTTTCAAGTTGGCTGAAATGAGACAACAGCTCAAATAACAACTTGTACAACCCAGATATTTGAATTGGAAAAGGTGGTGTGATATTTGGAAAATTTGGGAAACTGTCATATAATGTTTGGGAACCATTTTGTAAAGATTAGGAAAAAAGTGAATAAAGAATATTACAGCTGAATTCCATTATTTCAACTTCATTTTAGATCAAGATAATGGTTCCTGAGAAACAATTGTTTAGATTTATAACTCATATTACGTCAAAAATACAAGTGTTGAGCTGAGATAAATATGGGAAGGTGGAATCAGAACTATGAGGTTTTTTTTTAACCTTCTTTTCAAATCCAAGTTTTTGTTATGGTAAATTACCTTACATTAATATAATTCCCATCCCATAAAAACAAAACAAAAATCGACATGTATAAAATATGTTTACTTGTTCCTTTGGGATAAAGTAATTATTAACGTAAAGGTCAGTATCACATATATTGAATATAATATGAAAAATTATTTATTAAATGGCAAGATTGCATTCATTGATTCTTTACCCTCTGTGTAGAGACATCTTCATGGTGAGAGCCTGAGTTTCGGGAGGAAATGTTAGGAATCTAACCATAAGTGTATCTAAACTAATGTAATTTGTGGATTTAATTCAACACCCATGAAGTTTTAGGAAAACATATTCTGCTTATGAAAAACATAAAAAAAGTTCGATCTTTTTTAAAAGCTTAAGATGAGTCTTGATGTCTAATTGAGTTTGAGGAAGACATACAGCAACTTCGAGGAATCATTTGCACTCTAATGAAGAAAAAAGTCATTTGTAAGTTAATGGAAACAAAATTCAAATGTTAAGCTCAGGAAAAAAAAAACAAAAGCACCCATTAACTCATTGATTGGGTTTTTGTTCTTTCCACTTTTTCACATTTTCGATACCAAATGAGATTCCTAATTACGTTCAGTGGAAAAAGAAGAGTACATCCTTCACACTGCGTGTGCTCACGTGGTTAAACCAATGAAATCTGGCCGTTTTGGAGCAACCATCAGACCGCAGATTCAGAGTCAGCATCCTGACCTTGTTTTAAAAGCGCATAATTACACAGTCCATCCTCCAGCTTTAGTTCCCAGTCTGCATGTGTAAAGATAATAGGAGCTAGTCTGGCTACCAGGAAGAAGTTAATGAAATGATGGAGACTCAAAGGAAGGGTCATAGCGGAGGAGAGGAACTCTCTAACCAATTTTACTTCTCTCATGAGGGCCACTTCAGGCAAAAAGTTTCTTTTTAAGCAAAATTACCATGGATTTAAAGTTAAATAGGACAATTCAAAACTGATTTTAAGTGATAAAGCCACATTCTAGCATAACGCATTTAAATTCATTGTACTGATATGTATGAAATTAAGCTTAAATGAGGGTCTTTAAATATTTTGCTGCTAATAATATGTTATTTTTTCTCATTGTTATAAAATGTTTTCCAGTATGTGGTAAAGAAAGCATAGGAAGGTCACATTCTCTTTAGTGCCAGTATGAGTGCTCTGAGGGTGAGGTGCGCTATCTTTCTCACACAGAACCCTTTTTTTATCTGTGCTATTATAACCACAAAATAAGAATTAGTTTATTAGGATTTAACCCAATAGACCAACACAAACAATTATAAAATTACAAACTGAAAAATAAAAAGAGAATTCCTTTTTTTAAATCTATGCAAATAAAAATCTAAAAAGTGTGACATAGAGAATTTAATTTAGGAACAATCCTTGACATGAATATGTTTAAACTGAAACTACCCACTGTACCTCTGTCTGAATGTTTAGCCGTAGTCTTTGTTAAGCTGGAGGTCAAAGCCATACAGAACCATTAAATTACCTTTGACTGTTCCTGTTGAGAAAAACCTCACGCATGCAAGGGGATAACATAAAAACTATATGCATAAACTCCATTGGAATCGAAACCAGAACCTTCTTGCTGCAAGACAGCAGTGCTATGAACTGCACCATCATGCAGCCTTAAAACTAAACATTAAATTCTAAATTAATAAAAACGAATCAATTTCATATAGATCAGCTGTAAAGAAAAAAAAAATTCAATTGTCATAAATATTCTGTAAAAACCTGAAGATATTTAAAGACTGTTTTGTATGATTAGTTTTAAATATCTGCAATTTGCATAACTGTACAGTTTAACCACATATTTTCCAAATATTCTTTGTCTATCTTTTAACTTCCACACCTAACTTTGTAAACCTCATCTCTCTTCTCCATTAGAAGGACTCGTCCTCTATTGCCCTTCCAGGCTTAATGACTTTAATTCCCTCATGTTAATGGTTTCTCAGAGCCTGGGCCCCTGCTGGGACCACCAGCCCACTTCTAGTGGTCCGAGTCTGGCTCCAGGCAAGAAGGACCATGGACCAGAGACAGGGAAGAGAAAAAAAAAAAAAAAAAAGGAGTCTTGCTTTGACACGTGTAGGGCATATCCTAAAACAGATTGGCTTCCTCAGGCAAATAAGGTCCTGCAAAAAAAAAAAAAAAACTAGTGTCATTGAAAGGTATGAAGGAGTGGACTTCCCACTTGAATATGAAATCCCTGAAGGAGCCAGCAGCTCCACACCTTACTGTCTGACCTTACTCACCAGACCAGCAAGCTTTTGTAATGAATGTCTCTGTGTGACTATGGCTCTGCCTCATCTCTGATTATTTGTATGTAACTCCACAACTGCATCCAAGCACTCCATTTTCCATCTTCTCTGTTGTTTTATTGAAGTCTGGGTGTCCTGGGAGGCTGGAGAAGCTGGGAGTGGCAGTGATGATGACGATGAGCAAACACTACAGGGTGAAATAATCTCTCATTACCCGCAATTCCCTGGTGCTGCGCTGCGTCGGAGAGCAAAACTACATTTGTCCCACGGGCAAAAAAGAGTGGAGTCACTCACTCGATTTATTAGACCATCCCAAACTCCCCTTCCCTGCTGATCCCAGCCCGTTTCCCTGCTTCCAAACCTCCCTACGTCTCTTCAGGCTCTCAGACACCTGCTGTCATCCATATGTCCTTTCTCCTCTCCAACACTTTGTTTTTACAATAGAATGAAAATGTCTCACTATTAATTTATATATATATATATATATATATATATATATATATATATATATATATATATATATATATATATATATAGTCTCATATAGACAGTTTGAAAACCAATATAGTATACTTTCTTGAAATATTACTTTTGAAATGCTTTCTTTCATTAGCTGTTGCTCTTTAAATTGCTAAACATGAAGCAGTATCTAACTGAAAAGATTAAAACATGTTTTACAACAAAATATGAATGCATAGCAAAACAGAGTAAAGTACATTCACATGTATCTGTTTTTAAAAAGTATATAAACATGTTTAATTTCAATGTCACTTTTATTCATAAAGCACATTTATAAACAGCAGCAGTTTATAGAAAGTGTTTCACAATAACACCAACAACAATAAAACAGTAAATAGAATTAAACTCTAACATTTAAAACTTAAAAAGTAATCTATTTTTAAGAAAAATCTATCTTTAATTGTTAGACATATATTCAGTGGAGGAAAACAGAATGAATCAAGAAGTAATTTGTTTTAATAGAAATTGTCAGTGCGATGAAAATTTAAAACAAAAAGGGATTCTGTAAATCATAGATAAGAGGGTCTAATGGCTTTAACTCAAGAATCAGTAGCTTTCTATTTTTTTGTAACTTTGCTGTTTGGCTCTTGGTCACCTAAAAAATGGGAATGACAAAAAAACATCAGGCTGTTAAGGCGGGTATTTTTTATATTTAAATATCAGAATGGCTACAGTTAAATCCCTACTTACCTTTATGAGCCATATCTTTTGTCAAAATAATAATTAGAAAATTTAAGACAACTGAAAAATGACAAACTAGGCTGGCTCAGCAGCACAAAGAAAATAATATTAAAATAGTAAAAAAAAAAAAGACGTAAATTCTTGATAACTTCTGTCATGCTGCCTAAATGACAGCTAGCTGTTTTGAAAAACATGCCAGAAAACAAGTAATTTTTTTCATATCTCAAAAAATAATATGAGTCATTTCCTAACTTAGAATTTATTCCTTTTTTTTGGCTTTGCTCCCATTATCCTGGATACAAATTTTCTACCGACAAGTGTTCTGTTTAAGTCTGACCTTAAAGAAAGAATGTGGAAAACCTCAAACCTATAGTTAGGTATAGTGAAGGTGTGTGATGCTGTGGGTCTCTGTTTATTAAGTTCCATGTAAGAACTCATGCAAGAGAGCAAAGTGCCATACATTTTGGGATACACCAGGATAATTTAAACCAAAATTAGGTGGTTTCTGCTGGAAAACTGAAAGTAGGTAATCATTTGGTGTTTGAACAGGCCAATGATGGAACCATATGACTAAATTATTGCAAAAAATGGTTCTCCAGCAAAAGAATCAAGCTTGTCTTTGGCCATCTCATTCCTCAAAACAGTACAGTAAACATGTAGGATCATAAAAAAAAAAAAAAAAAAAAAGCGTATAAGACGGAGCCTTTGTTCTGTCAGATGAGCATACTCGGTCAGACCAGCATACCCATAGTGAATACACGTTTATCCCTTAAGTTTATCCATTTAGTTTTGTACAAAAAACACACTTTAAACTACCTCAACGGACGTGTATCCCTTTATTCATGTACGAAAAAACAATGTAATTACTTAATTTTTCTGTTTTTTGAAGCGTATGACGATCTGACCTTAAATTGTTTTATTTGTACATGACTAAAGGGATACACATCTATCGAGGTAGTTTAAAGTCTATTTTATGCAAAACACTAAAGGAATAAACGCATATCTGACGTATTGCGCATGCATATTGGCTATGCTGGTCTGACGGAGTATTCTGATCTGACAGAACACCAGGACTTTGGATGGTCCAGACGCTCAAAGCCTGCAGCCCGCAGGTTTTTAATGACTTCCAAGTTCAGCGTATCTTTATCAAAGGACCATGGCCCAGTTATGTGATTTGGGTTAGATTACAGAGAGAGAAAAAGAGATCAGGATGGTGGACCTCAAATACTGAAGTGTGGAACCTGTGAAAGAGAAATTGTGAGGGAATGGTTTAAGATCCCCTTTTCTATGAAGGGCAAACCTGTGAAAAATGGCTGCCTTATAGGAAAAAGAAGTGTGTGAAAACCAATGGTTTCATTAATCCATGTATGAAAAAAAATTCCAACAAGAAATAAAACCTTGTAAAATCCTTGGAAGTGTAAAAGAGCAAATTAAGTCCTATTAGAGGCTACAAATCTTATTTCTCAAGAGGGTGATGTAGGGCAGATCAGAGCAGTATGTGGCTTCAGCTGAATCCATGTTGGAATGAAGAGCAGTGTGTTGGTTATACATAATGTTAATATATCCAGGAATCTGAAAGGATTAAAGCTCTTCTCCTCAAGTTTTATCTTTTTGGTAGAAAAGGCGGTCTCACTACATTGCATAGATTTCCTTTCTATTTCACAGTCGCCCTCTTGGTGTATCAAGGATGCACTCACCACGTATCCACCAGAATGAAAAGGGGGCTTCAAAAATCCCAAATCTCCCATCACAGCCCCTTTGTCTCTCTGTTCATGCAGGCAAGTATATTTCAGGCTGCAGTTACCTGTCAGATGTGAAGGAAATCATATGTTATAAATTCACACGCTGTAGCCGATTATTACTTAGGATTTATAGTATGTTTGTGGAATAAGAGAATGATACACACACAGAGGAGACCATCGGGGATTTTATGAATTTCCAATGCAAATGATAAATCATGAACATGAGGAAATCCTTGGTTTTGCTGAAATGTGGCACCGAGCTCAGCTGCCATATAAAAGAATCATAGAAGCAGAAGTACTGCCTGATGTCTTGTACTGCTTTAGAATGTGTTGCTAGTTACTTCACAACCAATATTTCTGCAAACACTGAGCCAAATAAGAGCATAAAAAACTAACTTTTGTCATACTGAAAGCAAAAAACTGCATAACCGTGTATTAAATTGGGATTTTTAGATTGACCAACAGAAAGTAGCCCATATTTTTAAAGAGGGAAGAAATAATACATAATTTGAAATTCTGTTTACAGAGGAAAAAAAAATGTATCTCAGGGTCTACCAACTTTATTAATCTAGAGAGGGAAATCTTTAGCATAATTATTATGCAAAGTAGTCATTTTGTCAGATCAGATGGAGAGCATCTATTAACATTAAATTCAAAATCTTTCTACACATTTTATTTTGGATTGAGCAAAATAAACCTGATCTCATCGTAACGATTCCACTTCTACTCTGTCTTTATGTGAAAGGTAAAATTCCTCCCTAGGTTAAGGTCATTTATGGCCCTTTTGACCAGCATTTCTCTGCATTGAATCTCATCCAACTTGAAATTTACTCTAACCAGCTTCCCTATCCCCTAGATTTAAGGTATAGATAGTGGTTTGATTTTATTTCATTTAGTGACGAGAGATTAAAGGGTACTGAATAAAAATGTGTTAATTTAGTTTATAGAGCACCAACACAGCAAATATTGTCTTAAGGTACAAAAGCAGGACATTCAATCTATTGGATCCTTGTTATCAAACAATCCAGACAGCTTTTTTTTTATTATTATTATTTAAAACTGTAAAGAAAGTCTTGTGTAAAGTACATGAAGGATAAATGATAAATTACTTTTGGATATTAACCGTGCTGCATGACAAATACTTCAGATTTTAATTTGTGTACATTTGGAAACTATTTATTGTTTCCCTCCAGCTCACAATATGCAATATATATAAAATATAAATATGTGATTTTATTATTGACATGTTATGACATGAAAAGGTTCAAACGGGTATAAATACTCATGGGGGAGCTGTATTATTGTACTTCAGTTGTAACTAAAAATCAAATTTTTTTTTTTTTATTCGCTGTCAAACTTGGGACTTTTTTATGACATAATCAGGTTCAGATATAGATATCTGTGAGTGATTTCTCCTAAATAGAAGCATAACAAATGTTAGTGAAACAAATTGTAAAAATCATAAAGTGCAGAAATTTTTGTGTCTTTCTTTTTTTTGACTATCCCTAAGAGCTTAAAAGCTTGGTGTACTTTAAAGCACTGACTCCCCTGTCTTTGTGCTGGGATCTAATTTCACACATGATTGTTTCTTTCTCTCTGCTGGGTCCGTGTGCAGACATACTTTAGTTAGTGCCTTAACATTACGCGCTAGTTTGCTCGGGGCTAGATCACAGGGTGAAGGAAGAGAATGGGTTGGCTTTAAAAACAAAGTCAAGATAATAGGAAATAATCTGATCTATTAAAGCAACGAAATAAAGGAATGGAAGGGTTTCCTAATTAAATAATTTGCTTATTATTCTGTTTCGTTAAAAATGGAGCATGCTTAAAGAATGATGTGACCATTAGATTAGCAAATTGAAGACAAATACAATTGATCTATTTAAATAATTACAACAATTTCACTGGTGTTAACTTAATTTGAAAAGCAGATGAGTATTTAATTGTTTAATTAAAAGGATATTTTCCTGCATAATAAAGAAAATGCACCTTAAATTCTCAAATACTGATTAACTTTGCACTGCTTTGCACCTACACAGTCAGAGACAGTCATGCTTAGAGGCAGACCCTCGCAGTGCTCGGAGGTAGATTTATCACCATTGAGGTCTTGCGTTGATGAAGCCATTTAGTGGTGGTCCCATTGGTCCTCCGCTGATTAGTACTAAACATCTTCTCTAATAACCTTAACAAGAGCAATGCCTCAGGACGACATGCCGATGCACAGAGGCTCACCTCCTTGGAGATGAGGGAAAAGCGCTGAGGGCTACCCATCTTCCTCTTTCAAAGTCACCCCTCTCTGATGCTCCAACTTGGCAAATTTCATCAGTTTTAGGACGAGTCTCCCCCTGCTACTATATATTCTCTTCTCTTCTGCATTCACACCAGTCAATTCTGGAAAAAAAATAAATAAATAAACCACAAAATTGAGTTGGTTATGGTCCAAGAGTCCCAATTGCCCCAAACAAACTTCCTCGCAGCATTAATATGGGATAGGGAAATAGGAATATATGAATACAAACTAGAGAGGATGGTTTAGCTCTCTTCTGGGGATAAAAAGGAAAGAAATGAAATCAGGAATGCAATTCCTGATATTGCCGTAGGGGGAATTACATCGGCTGTCTTCTTGAAACAACAAAGAGCATCTGTACCTTACTGTAGATGCTCTGTAAGACAAAGCAGAAGATTATTTTTAGCTGCATTGATGTCATAATACCTGAGTCCTCAGAGTCAAACTTGCTAAACCTGTTCCCACTCTTCTTGACTCACCTGCAGTCTTTGCTGACTGTCTTGTGTGTGCCTGATTTTGCTTTTAAAGTGATTTTCAATTATCTTTCAGTTCTTAAAATGATATCACAATTTGTCACATTTCAACCATAAATTGGATATTTTATTGGAATTGTATGTTAATGCAATCCAGTAACTGTGAACCAAAATAAAACTATACAGATTTGTAGTTATTTAGCAAAATGAATGAAAGGAATTTTAATTCAGGTTTGAATAGTAGCAGTTCCCTGGTTTAAAAATCCCAGCTGTACTGCTTAATTTTTAGATTTCGAAGGATTCTTGAAACACTGTTGTTTTTAGGGTCCAATGGTCAAATTGAGACAATTGCAACACACTCAGGACAAGTAAAGATAACTTGTGAGATTTGACATGATTTGCATATTTTCAAGAATTTAGGGTGGCTCACAAGAATCTCTACTGCATACAGGACCAATGTTAAGAATCAGCTAAGAATATATCAAATATATCTAAGATTCAGATATGATTACATTTTAATATCCTCCTTTAAAGTGTTTTGACTCAATATGTAATAAAATGGCATTGACTTCTACTTCGGACACTCTTTATTCCACATAGTGCAGCTGTTATGCTGGTCCTGAATACTAACATGTTTAAGTAGGGAACACAAAAAAAATCTGCACAAATTGCTTAGGAATCAGAGATTAAAAATACGGATTTAAGAATTAACAGTAATCCTTTGGATTAAGTATAGTTGGACTAAAATTTTGCACAGCTCAAAGCTTTTGCCCCCAAATTTTAAAAAGTTTAAGAATTGCATTAACAGGCTAAGAATTAAATAAAGTTTGAGAAAACAGGAACTTACTTCAGAAAATTGAGTTTGAGGTATTTTTTGTAAAATTGTAGTGGATATAGCAGAAATGTGGGTAAAGTAATTTTATCAACTATTTGGCCTGCTGTTAGGGATGCTTTATTTTCAATAGGAATAAGTCAATATCGAAAGGAAACCAATTAGAGGCTGAAAGACATAACCTTTTCAAATTCACCTTCTTGTCATAGCAGGACTCCAAACCATCAAACTAATATAACCAGAAGGACTTGATTGGATAAAATTATACTTACAAGTCGAGTCAGTGTCTGTGTCTGGATATGTTTGACTTGTAAAGACCTCAATTGTAGTGACGTATTGCCTGATGAGGACTGAAATTCACAGTTCAGATTAAAATAAACAACAACTGTTAATACATGATTTTATTTCTCTCCATTTCATGATATTTTAGATTTAAAAAGGGTAATGCCCCAAAAGTTAAAAAACAATCCACTGGACTTTGTTTCAAAGTTTTAAACAACTTTTTTTGGGAATGACTATGACCTGGAGGACTGAGAATCTTCACCAGCATAAAAAGGGATGAAACATTCATATGAATGGCTACTTTTGTTGTGAGTAGTGAAAGGTAAACTATACAAATTCTGTTGAGGCAAATGGCAAAAGAAAAGCTGCAAAGCTTAGATTAGCAAGAAAAAGCTAAATTAAACAGAAAATGTTTTAACTGTCTTTAAAAATTAAAAAGTCTTATATAAAATGACATCATTTGCTTGCTTTCCCTTCCCAAGCAATAAAATGAGCACATTTCTTTGTTATCCTGAAGTTCCCATTCCTGCGTTACATTCAAGACCAACATCAATAATAGTTTTTATTGAAATTTTTTTAGTAAAATCACCCCAATTAAGGGACTTTTCTTTGCAATGTTCTGAAAATAATACACTTGAAGTGTCCCGTATGACATATTATTTTTCAATAAAGAATAGCCTTTATTGATAATGCTTAGTAAAAACTGTAGAAATTGAGCCTGCAATGTAGTTCTATTTTTCTGATGGAAGATTGTGGTAAGACGCTGATAAAATATTTAATACTTTGATCTCTACCACCCAACATAATTTACGTTTTTCTAATTTATTAAAGAAAACACAACATTTTTATGCGTTTTTAGCCATATTCGCAAACTAAAAGTAAATATTCCGGAGTACACTCAAAGGCATCACACAGGTCCCGCCGTGACGCCAGCTGAGGGAGGAACTCCAGCAGCAGAAGTCAACCAGGAAACGAAGGAGCAGACAAACAGCACCGTCCCGGGCTGACGGCTGAACGACGACTCAAACCAAGACCGTGTCAAACTCCACGGCTTCTCAATTTAATATTTAGTTAGATACAGTGTAGCGTCATGGCTTCCCTTTTCAAGAAGAAGACTGTCGATGGTAAGTTTGAACTGTGTAAAAAAATAAAGAAATAAGCTAGCTAACTTGTTTTTAGCCCTGCTTTTTATAGCCCGTTGTGTTAGCTTTCCTCTTAATACTCGTTGAACCTGTTTTCGGTTTTGTTGAGTCACCAGTCACGTTACTAAGAGGGAGAAAGCGTCGAAACATCGCCAAACTCTGCCTGGGTTGAACAAACAAGCTAGGATAGAAAGGAGGCAGTTAAAAACACAACTAAATGGCGTTGAAATACAAGAAGACTTGTTGTTTTCTCATCCAATAGCTGTTATTAAATACAAGTTATAACCAAAGCTGTAAATGCGGGGAGAGTATGTTGTATTTTGCTATAACTTTATAAATGTGACTTTATTTAATTTATTTGAAACGTCAACCTGTCGATCCACTTATAAGCATTAAAGACAGTGAAAATTTAAACTGTTTTTATTGACAAAATAGCTGATTTTTTTAACTCATTCTCGTCAGTATAATGCCAATTTTTGTGTTTCTGACCTTTTTCTGTGTTTGTTTTACATTTGAGATGTAAAGATCTTTAGACAGCTGAATGTAAAAACTACTGAGGTTAACAGGAGGGTGAAAATGAGCAGCTTCATAAATGTGAAGGGTTGTTAAATTATGACGTCTAAGGCATGCTGTCATCTGTTCATTTTATTGATATGTTCATTTTACACAAGCTATATAATATAAATATATTATTCAGATAAGTCCATCAAGTGGAAAATGGAAAATTTGACAGCATTTTCTTAAAAATGAATTAATCCATTAAGAAAAAAAAGACTCTTGGGGCCCAAAATACTATTTTCCACCACTGTAGCTTATTTTTCTTTCTCTAAATGTTAGAGACACTAGGTTAGAGAAGACAGGCTTAGCTGTTCTGTTGCATTTCATACTCCTCCCATCCCAGTCATGCCAGCCTCACCCAAAGCAACAATCTGCATTCTCTACTCACTGTGCTCCCTTTACCTCCACTGTATGTTGAGCTGTCATCAGATCTTCATCAGCCATCTCTTTTTTTCCTTTTTGCAGTTTCTTGTCTCATTCATTTATTTAGTTTTTCTTCACCCTTTCACTCTATTGACTGAGGGTTTGGGGAATTCTTGGATTTCAGGTCTGGTAGTCGAAGAAGTTTCACATTTTTTAATTTACCAGCCGTGGTTGTTGGTGGGGGGGTTAGATCGCACATATTTGTAGGACGATATCCCTCCCACTTTGATACGTTGGTGGTACGTCACCTTATACGCACTTATGCATCATCCTTAACAATTGGTCCAATATAGTTTAACTTTTTTTTTACTGGATGAGCTTTGTATGAGCGCTCCCCACTGCTTTGACAGGATGTGATATTCTGTCATTTTATGTATGAAGTCAGGTTTAGCAGGTTGGTCAGTTTGTTTTATACTTCTATTTATTTATTTTTTAAAATTTTTTAATGTTCTGTCTAAATATTATACATAATTTGAATTTACAGTGTGGACTAATAGGATATGTTACATATATACATTTAAACATTTGAAGACATTTTTTTTCTGTTTTTTTTTTTTTTTTTACAAGATTCTTGATTTGATTACTTTTACAATGAACATAAATGGTAAACATTTTTATAACTTTAAGAATGAAAACAATTGATATAAAATATTTATTCTATATTTTATGCGCTTTCATGTTTGTCTGTAAAAAAAGAAAAAATCTTATAGATACATCTCAGACTTTGGACCAACAACATCAGTTAATTTTTTTATTTTTTTACTTTTTTGTCTGGCAGCCATTTGAATTATGCTGGTTATTTCACTCTGCTCTGTTTCACAAGTCATTGATGGTTGTGTGACTCCTGAATTGCACATCGTCTCACATGATTTATTGCTGTTTTGTGTTGGTTTGGAGGTTTAGAGCTGACTGGCCTAATATTGATGTCAGCTGCGAGAGCAGTTGCCACAGTTGTCTGTTGGTATTCAGTGTGTTGCTGATCATCCTCTGGTATTCTCCAAGAATCTGGGGACAGAAAACCAAACAAGCCTGCTATCAGGCTTAACTACAATGTTTTTTTTTCATAGGGAATACTGTTTATTGGCTATATTGTAGGAGGAAGGTATTATTTTTTGTTTCCTTTTTATTTTTTATTTTGAGATGTCATGCACAAATAAAAGGACTGTTTGGGTTTTATTCAGTTTTAAAAACTTTTTTTTAGGCAAAAGAACATTTGAGTGGTTTGTCTTTTTTAAAGCAAATTAAAGATGCATTTTTATTGCGGTGGCGATTAGTTGAACTTAACTAATTCTGCTTTATCTTTATTGATATTGTATTTTCATTATGCTTTTTTTTTTACCATTTATTCCTAATAAACTATGATGTTGCCATTT